GGGGGGGGGGTGTAAGAGAGCAACCAAAGGACTTGTATGCATGCATATGGGCATGGCCCATGGACACAGACAGTTGTGGGGTGAGGGCATGTGCTGGGGGGTGGGGACAGCTGAGGAGAGGTCAATGGGGGGAAAAGGAGACATATGTAATACTTTCAACAATAAAGAATTTAAATTTAAGGGGAAAAAAAAGAAAGAACGAGTGTTGGGGTGAATGTGGAGAAAAGGGAACCCTCATGCATTGTTGCTGGGAATGTAAATTAGTGCAGCCACTATGGAAAACAGTGTGGAAGTTGCTGAAAAATTAAAAATGCCATATGATCCAGCAATCCACTTCTGTGGAAATGAAACGTTAACTGCAGCATTAGTCACAATAGCTAAGGAATGGAAATAAGAAGGATATCCTGCCGCTTGCGACAATATGGATGGACCTTGAGGCCTGATGCTGAGTGAAATAAGTCAGACACAGAAAGACAAATTCGGTACGGTATCACTTAGATGTGGAATTAAAAAAAAAAAAAACTCGTAAAAATGGAGAGTAGAAAAGTCGTTGCCAGGGCCTGGGGGAAGGGGGAAGTGGAGAAAGGTTGGTGAAAGGGTACAAAGTTTCAGTTATAAGATAAATAAGGTCTGGGGAGCGACTGTCTAACACTGGGACTATAGTTGATAACTCTGTGTTGTATAACTGAAATCTGCTTAGAGAGTAGAACTTAAATGTTCTCACATAAAAAAACCAAACCCATATACATATGTATATATGTAAGGTATTGAATGTGTTAATTAACTAAATGGGAGGGATCTTTTCACAATGCATATGTATATCAAACCATCACATTGTACACTAAATATCTTAAAATTTTTATTTGTCAATTACACCTCAGTAAAGCTGAAAAATAAAAAGAATCAACAGAGTAACAGGTTTCCCCCTCAAAGCCATATCAGTAAAACTGCAATACTATATTCCTCCCCCCCCAAAAAAACCACTTCAAAACTAATTAGAAAATATAATTTATCTTACCTGCAAATGCAATTTATCTCCTTTCAACTTACTCTCCAGCTTTAACATTCTCTTTGCCTGATCTGGTACCTCCAGCTTCATTTTTATCATGCACTTAGTTTCCCGAACAACTTCCAGAATTTTGGGATCAAAATTAACCATCAACTTCCCTGATTCTGGATGTCGCACAAAAAGTGTGGCTTGTAAAGCTACAAATAAACGATTTTTTTTACTTTAGATATTTTGGATTTATTTCTGCTTCCAGCCCTATGTCACATGCCTATCTTCCCCACTGGACTATTGACTTTTTTAAAAAAAAATCCCATATAATAAAAGCCTAATATCCTAAGTGTCCAACCGTTCGTTCCACCATTTGACCAGTCGCTATGACACACACTGACCACCAGTTGGCAGATGCTCAGACCGGTAGGTTAGCTTGCTGCTGGGGTCCGGCCAATCAGGACTGGGTGAGATGGGCTAGACATGCCCCGGAGCCCTCCTGCGGTCCCTCCCTGGCCCCAATCGTGCACTGGTGGGGTCCCTTGGCCTGGCCTGCACCCTCTCACAATCTGGGACCCCTTGGGGTATGTCAGAGATCTGGTTTTGACCCAATCCCCACAGGCCAAGCCGAGGGACCCCACCAGTGCACAAATCAGTGCACCGGGCCTCTAGTGCGTGTATGTATGTATGTGTGTGTTTGTATCTATATATCTATATATCTATCTATCTGTATAGATAGATATATAGATAGATAGATAGATAGATAGATAGATAGATAGATATAGATAGATATAGATATATAGATATAGATATATATAGATATATATATTGATTTCAAAGAGGAAGGGAGAGAGAGAGAGAAACATCAGTGATGAGAGAGAATCATTGATCAGCTGCTTCCTGCAGGCCCTCCACTGGGGATCGAGCCCACAACCCGGGCATGTGCCCTGACCAGGAATCAAACCCTGACCTCCTGGTTCATAGGATGATACTCAACCACTGAGCCATGGGGGCCAGACTGGACTGCTGACTTCTTAAGGACAGAGCAATAGCATTGAATATCCCAGTTTCTGACACACAGTAGGTGCTCAAGACATAGATAAATAAATGCAGAGTGTCTATAAGGCCATAAAATCAAATCAAGAGAGGAAATTGGGCCAAGAATGGCTAGCCCTTGTGCTATGAGCTGCAAAACTTTTCAGGGTGGGCCTAAGAAAGCTATAATACCATGTTAGTTTATTTTCACAGATGGTGATTGAACCCCTAGGAGAGAACTGGAAGATATGCACAACTATGAAAATATGAAACACCTCACAGATTTCCCAAACCTTTTTCCATGCCTAACCCCAAACTGGCTTCTTTAAGGAGGTTTATCTGAATGAAATCTCCATCCTGAATTTCTGACAACTAGGATCAATATCAGTAAGAAATATTTATTGAACACCATTGCACTGTGAACTCCTAGAATAAATACAGAGGGAGATTTTTTAACACTATATCTGAACTACTATTGAACATTATTAATATAAATAGGCATGTTCAGATATGCTTTTTATTATGAATCCCTAGGTTCATGCTGAGGAGCCTTAGATTATTTGTTGTTATAGCGTTAGAGGCCCAGTGCATGAATTCGTGCACCAGGGGGGTCCCTTGGCCTGGACTGCGGGATCGGGCCGAAACTGGCATCCCCTGAGGGGTCCCGGATTGCCAAAGGGCACAGACCAGGCTGAGGGACCCCACTGGTGCACTATCGGGGCCGGGGAGGAACATGGGAGGTTGGCCAGCCAGGGAGGAACTGTGGGAGGGCTCCAGGGTATGTCCGGCCCATCTCGCTCAGTCCCAATCAGCCAGACCCCAGCAGCAAAATAACCTACTGGTTGGAGCGTCTGCCCCTGGTGATCAGTGCATATCATAGCGACTGGTCAACTGGTTGACTGTCCCCTGGTGGTCAGTGGACGTCATAGTGAGCGGTTGAGCGGCCTTAGCATATCATTAGCATATTACGCTTTGACTGATTGAACGGACGACCGGATAACCGGACACTTAGTACATTAGGCTTTTATTATATAGGATGATAAAAAATAATCACACACCTGTAGATAAGTATGTATGAGCTTGAATATATCTTATATTAACAAACACTACTAACTTGAGGATGCCCACTGTATCTTCCAAGCTTCATATTACTGCACCATATGTGGCTGCATCAAATATCTACTTAAATAGAAGAGTCTTTATATCTCTTTGAAGTTACTGGAGTTTTACTCATCCTATAAAATTAGTTTTAATGATCCTAGTTTCATGGAGATTTCAACCAAAAATTTTACCCAATTTATTTGCAATCTTTTAAAAATTGAACTAGAAATCATTTATCTTCCCAAGTTAAAGTCTAAATGAACCCTTGGACATTCATTTAATAAAATCTGTCTTCCTTAGGGCTGTACTGAGTTTCTGTGACAGGACAGAATGGGCAGCAAGACCACTAACAATGACAGCCTGGAAGCCCTCCCCAGGGCTGAGTGAACATTCCTTCCAGGTGAGTCATCAGTAGAGAAACATTACAGGGGTTGATACTAGGTCTCCAATTATTACCCCGAGTGCCTGTATAACTATCGTTATACACTTGTATCGTCACACCGCTGTATCAACAAGAAGCCTTTCAGAGCGATTCCTGCCCAGTAGCCTGTGTGCACATGAAAGGCAGATTTGAATCCTGGCCCTGCCACTTCCCAGCTGTGTGATCTTGAGCAAGTCAGCTAATGGTTTCTCAGTGCCCGGGTTTCCTCATCTGTCAGATGAGGGCAATAATAGTTCCTCAAAGGGTTGCCATGAGGATCAAAGGCAGTTAGCTGTATATGTAAAGTACTTAGACAAAGCCTGGCACAGGGTCAGCACTATATAGATGTTAGATATGACTGTTATTTAAAGGAGACAAAGATGAAACAGACAGAGAGAGTATCCTTGGAATGTGTAGGGGAGATAAGATGGGTCTGTAAAGCAGTAAGTGTCCTGGGAAAGAACTGCAGACAGTGCGTGGAGGGCTCGAGAGGAGGACATTACTTTCTGCTGGGAAGAATGAGGAAGGGCTGGACGGAACAGGTGACTATTGAACTTGATTTAGAACATGTGCAGATGAGAGGAAAGACCGGCAGGACAAAACAATAAGTAGGGAAGTGCATCGTATTGCAGAAGCTAGCTAGTACATGCTCCGTGTTTCAGTTGTTAAAAATTCTCTTTTGCCCTTTTCCATAGTGTGAAGTGTAAGCTTTCGCGTTGGTCCATTAGCAGGCTTTCATTGGGATCCATTTGGCCGCCATTCGCATATGGCCTGACAGAAGGCCTATTAAAGGTTTGGTTAAGGTGCCAGTTAGGGAAGACACCCTGCGGGGTTGGGGCCCTGTCTTCCAGAATGCCGGTGTGCACTGAATCAAGCACCCGCATATATGCTGTGTCCCCAACTGCTCAAGTAAATGGATCTGGAACCAAGAGACAGAAGTAGGAGTGGTCCTCTCACTGTCACTCCTGGTGACCCACCCCCTGAAGTTGTGCTCCCTGTGCCTGCAATTCTGTGCTCTGCTGAAGCGGAGATCCCGGGGTGGGAGGGAGAAAGCTTCCTACCAGGGGACACGGCCAGGGTTCCACCAGGTTACAGATAAGAGCTTAAGGTTAAGGTGGGACAAAGCATGGCCAACAGCTGAGCCCACACAATAATAACAACACCCCAGATGATGCCAGCGTGGGTGGGTGCTTGCTGAGAATCACCATCCTCTGCCTCACACTTAACTCTGCCCGGTGCCTGAGGATACTTGGACCCTCAGAGGTACTTGGACCAGCCCTAATATTCTTTTATTTTTTTTAAATATATTTTTTAATGATTTCAGAGAGGCAGGGGGAGGGAGAGATAGAAACATCAATGATGAGATAGAATCATTGATTGGCTGCCTCCTGACATGCCTTACTAAGGATCAAGCCTGTGACCCGGGCATGCGCCCTAACGGGGAATTGAACCGTGACCTCCTAGGTTCATAGGTTGATGCTCAACCACTGAGCCACACCGGCCAAGCAGGCCAAATACTCTTAATTTACTGGAGCTCAAAACTGAAGTTAAATTCAGTTATAGAAAAAGAAAGAAAGGAAGGGAGGGGACAAGAGAGGAGTGAGGAAGAGAAGGGTGAGAAGGAAGGAGGGAGAGAGGGAGGGAAGCTGCAATTCTCCACTGATTGGGACTGAGATTTGAATCTATGTCATGATAAAACGAAATATGAAAACTTTCCTAAATCCATGGAAAAATATCTATAATGAGTCTTGATATTTACTTTTGAATACTTTTTTTCAGGAGGAAGTCATAATCCAAGCAAATCAACTTTAAGGTCATGACGATTTTTGCTCATAAAGATCAGATTATTAATAACTATAAAGATATAAATAATTGTATCACCCCCAAATCTCAATGCAACCATCATAAGACTACATGGAAGAGATGTAAAACTTCCCCAGAACCATGAACTCATCCAAAGTCCCCTCACACCCCTGGGGAGCGGAGCCGCGCACCCACCGTACTGTATCTGCGAGATCTCTCTGGTCCAGGCCGTGTGGTAGACCACCTCAAACTCCACCAGCACGTAGGAAATCTTGTTATACTGACGAATGACAGCCTTACCTTCCGAACTTGACAAAATGTCCGAGTTTTTCTGTTTTTTAAGGGAAAGAGAAAGCTTTATGTTAAAAGACTGTTGCTCGTTTCATGCAAATCATAAAGCTGTTTGTCTTTAAAATGGCATCAAATAATTGTGCTACCCATTCAGATTTTACCTCAGAGTAAAACAGGGATGAGGAAGGCTGTACAAGCTAGCCATGGAAGTAGAGAAGCATTATGTAGAAGGGGGAAACTGGAGAAGGAAATAAAGGATTTAAACAGAAAGGGCTAGCCCTGCAGCCAGCCCCAGGCACTGAGAGATAGAAACATCAATGATGAGAGAGCATCATTGATCGGCTGTCTCCCTCTTACTTTTCTGGACAAGATGCGATGGACGGATCTCCCTTGAAGTGTGGATATCAGGACAAAGTCCTAAGTTCCAGCACCAAAAAACAGTATCCCAATATTCAAGAACACAACCAAATTTGTTTATGCAAATTACTGCACATTTTATGTTTTGATCCACATATGTCAAAAACAGTCAATCAGCAATGGAGTTCCATCCTGGCCCCTGTGTAAGCCCAGCGTTTCAATGTTTTTTAATATTGAGGACAGTTAAATAAGTGATAGTAGCCAAACACAAACAACAAAAGCTCAATATTTAATAACGTTTGAATTATAATGTTACTCTCAAGACTATATTTTGGTAGCATTTTGTTCTGAATTTAGGCACTAGACACAAAACTAAGCCAACCATCTCCACTCTGTAGCTCTGTCTCTTTAAAAAACAAAGCAAAAGAAAAAAAAACCCACACAAAACAAAACAAAAACAAAAAACAAAGAGAAGACAAACTGGCAATTTCAGAATTCCAACAGAGCCTAAGAGTATCCTGGTGCTTTTCGGAAATCGAATACTCCTAAGGACACCGAGAATGAATGTCCTTCATGATTCCCTGCTCTAGGTCTCAGTTTCTCATACAGGAAGAGACTGCGCCTCGCCTCCCCGTTGCTAATACACAGAAGTAACCTCAGCACTTGGCCTGTACGTTTTTGTTTTCAAAACAATTTTTAAAGCCTTTATAAAGTGTCCTGTTTTATTAAAAGTCACAAAGTTTAAGATTCACCCTCTTAGAGGTAACTGTAATGAAACGGGCTTATCTACCACACATGAAACAATTGGCTTAATGTCTCACAAGCATACTTATAAACTAATTTTTCTTCACCCGTAAAATAATGAGCTCTAACTACTTTCTTGGACATAAATACTATGAGATCAAATATATTTCTTGTATTCAAAACCCCAGTCCACATACTGTTAATGTCAGCATTGGCTTACAAAGAAATAGTTGATGGGCTCGCTTATCCGGCGGTAGAGCTGCCTCACCCAAAGTATTTTTCCTGCTATTGGGGGCATGTTGCGAGCCAGAGGGGGGTCATCTTTTTGAGAATGATAAAGCTGTAATGAAAGAGCTGGTATTAATGTTTGAAATTCAATATGATGAAAAAGGCAAAAAATATATATAAAGCTATACTTGTATTGATGTTTTGCCATTATTCCCATGTTTTATACCAAGGAGGTAGTCATTAAAAATATAGAAACACCCTTCAGAGATAATAACCCGAGATTCAGAAACTATGATGTTTAAAATATATGACACTTAATGATCTCTAACCCTTCTTTCCCATTACATGTATGTTTTTTCTGCCTTTTATCTCAATTTTTAAAGAAGTATGCAAAAGAGGGAGCACATTGCTACGTTATACCTATCATAATAGTCTCCAGAGCCCGTACTTCTATGGGCTTAATGGGCTTTCTGATGCACGCATGGATGCTGTCACGCAAAGGCAGTTCTAAGAGCACAGGATGTAAGCCTGGCCTCCCAGTGACATCCCCGGTCAGCCCTTCCCGCACTGAGAAGGGACGTCAGAGGGATTTCGCAGTGACAGGACTGCTCCCGAGTTGCTTAGCACAATATAACCACGGCAAATACTTTCTGAATGCTTTTGCTTTTGTACTAAAGTGCCTGTCTTTATTATAAACACGATACTTGCCTTCTTAATAGCTTCGAGTTCAGCCACATAACATTGAAGGATACGCTCAATTGTGTGATTTATTTCTAATTTAAGACAGGGAATGTTCAGCTTCTGGAACCTAAGAGTAATTAAAGGTGAAGAATTAAGAAGTAAATGAGAAACATACTTGAGAACTGCTGCAGTCCTAAAAATCCATTCTTTTACTCATTTGACAAATATTCACATCAGGCCTCCTACATGTGCTAGGATACAGTGGAAACAAGACAAGTATGGTTCCAGATTTCTTGCAGTCTGTTATCTTACTGACAAATATTCACATCAGGCCTCCTACATGTGCTAGGTAGGATACAGTGGAAACAAGACAAGTATGGTTCCAGACTTCTTGCAGTCTGTTATCTTATGGAAACGGGAGCTATCGGTCAAGAGTTACATAAATAATTATTTAAATTACCAGGGTGCCAGGAATGCATATTAACAGGGAACCCAGCCAAGTCTGGGAAGTCAAGAAAAACTTCCCTGAGGAAGTGACATTAAACTGAGATTGAAAAGGTGAGTGGGGGGTGGCTTCATAAAGATGGAGGGGAGCACACTGACTATCCCTCTGCCAATATTAACGTCACATGATTCCAAATAGCCAGAATAATAATATTATAATAATGATTTTGTCAGCCAAATATCACTTTCACTTAGAGACCCAGTGACGCACAGGAAGGGCTGGAACCAGAAGGTCCTGATAATAAAGTGAATTAACACCAGTATAGTATAGGTTGGTCGGGGGAGGGCAAAGACAGAAGGAAAGAGACAGAGAGAAATCACTAAGAAAGTAGAACCTGCCATCTGTCACGCGTTAAAACCACTTTATCTGTTTTGACTCTTATGATGGTCTCATAAGGTAAGGTCTCACTGATATTATCCATAGTTAGAGAGACATGCAACTACAGCAAAGCTGGGCCCAAGCCCAGAACCACGGGCTCTCAGGAGAGGGTTCCCAAAGGGTCCCTAACATGGTCATGAGCCCTTTCCGAGCTGGAAGCAAAGAGCCCCGAGTCCAGCTCGTCCCTCTCGTCCAGGCTTTCCTGCCCTTTCGGAGGTCACTGTTGTCGGGAACAGAGGGACAGGAGTGGCAGGGGCACTCGGGAGGGAAGATGGGAGTTTGGAGATCTGCTACTCTAAATTGCACTTTTTTCTAAAAGTCCAAACAAAATCTTTTCAGCACGCAGAATTAAACATTATTGTTCCCTTTCCAGTAACACCTATGAAACCAGCCTCAAATATATCATATAGCTGGGGGAAAGATGTAAAATATTTCATTTTCTTATTGAAAGACTGTCTGCTACAAAAAAAATTCAGCAAAAAATATATTTCAAATTTTTAGCATTCTATTAAATGGTAACTGAAAAAGCAATGTTTCTGAGTTCAAAAGTTTACCTAGAAGAAGAGAGAGAAGATGGTGGCCAAATCTTGCACCTCCTCCCAGGGTCAGACTAGAAATAAAACTCAATTGGAGAACATTCACCCGTAATTACCAACTAAGGTCCAGCTGAGAAGGAGACATAGAAAACACCTGGAGACTGACAGGCAGGGCGACGTCGCAGGAGGGGCTGACCCCGCAAGAGGGGCTGACCCCGCTTCCTCGGGCGGCCGGCCCAGAGTACAGAGGGATCCCTTGGCTACAGGAGGGCTTTTCCCCGAGAAGATCAAGGCCTGGAACAGAGGCTGGACTCTGCAGCCCAGAGTAACAGGGCTGGGAACAGTGACCCACATAACATCCAGCTGTGAAAAGCAGCAGAGCTTCTGGCCACCAGGGAGACCAGAGCCGGTCGGAGAGAAAGCCTCACTCAGTTTGTTTTGGTTTTTAAAGATGTGGAAACAGCCCAAGTGTCCAAAAGTAGATGAGTGGATAACAGAGCTGTGGTACATTACACAGTGGAATCCTATGTAGCTGTGAAAAAGTAGGATCTCTTAACTTTTAAAACAACATGGAGGGACCTAGAGAGTATTATAGTAAGTGACATAAGCCAGTCAGAGAAAGACAAAGATCATGTGATCTCATTTCTATGTGAAATCTAAAGAACAAAAGAAACTGCCTTAAGACAAAGAAAGAATCTTACATGGAAGCATGTAACAGACTGACGATTCTCAGAGGGAAGGGGGGTGTGAGTGGAAAGAGATTTACCAAAGAACTTATATGCATAACCCATGGACACAGACTATAGTACAGTTAAGGCCCGAGGAGGGAGGGGATGGGAGTGGGGAGGAGGGAATCCTCGGGGGGGGGGAAAGGGACATCTGTAATACTTTCAACAATCAAGATAAATTTAAAATCTTTTTAAAAAGTTTATCTAGAAGAGATTTCCAAAAACATCTTATTTGAAATTGTATTTTCAGATATAAAGTTATGCCGACTAGAAATTATGCTGCTTAATGGATTATAAATACCTTTGAAGCAGCTGAAGAGCCTGCTGAGAAGATAAGATTTTTCCAAAAGTACTGTTCATAAAGGCCTGTATTTGTACCTAAAATAAAATGTTGATATTTAATGATCTTGGCATTAAGAGATTAGTTTTGTTTAACAACATTTAATGATTTTCCTACAGAATCAATATAGCCTTCAACACACCTACCATCTAAGCATCTAAAACTGCACTGCCCAGTGCGATGGCCGCTGGCACTCACTACTTAGCAGTGAGATACGCTGTAAGTATAAAATATGCACTAGGTTTCAAAGACTTAGTACAAAAAAAGAATGCATAATATCTCAATGATTCTTATATTTGATGATATATCAAAATGTTAATATTTTTAATATGTTGGGTTGAATAAAATATATTATTTTTAAAAATATATTTTTATTGATTTCAGAGAGGAAGGGAGAGGGAGAGAGAGAGAAAAACATCAATGATGAGAGAGAATCAACAATTGGCTGCCTCCTGCACACCCCCCACTGGGGATTGAGCCCACAACCCAGCATGTGCCCTGACCAAGGATCAAATCATGACCTCCTTGTTCATAGGCTGACACTCAACCACTGAGTCATACCGGCCAGGCAAAATATCTTATTAAAGTAATTTTACCTGCTTCTTTTAACTATTATTCTTTTGGCTACTAGAAAAATTATAAATTACATATGTGGTTGTTTTGGGAAATTACTGACCTAGAGGATTTTTGAAAGGAGTGAGTGTCCCTTACCAAGCACATTTCTTTGGGATATTTGGAATTTCTAAGCATATTGGTAGAGCAATGTGATGACACTATGGACACCCAGAATCAACAGGTGTCACTGTCCAACATCACTGCTCCCAGAAACCTCTTTGCCATGCCAAGGAGAAACAAGAAGAAAATATTCTTCTGAAACTCACACCACCCCAAACAGTGAATTCCAAACTCCTGGTACCAATGGAACTAAAACACTCTTTCTAAATTACTTTCACTTTCAGATTATATTGTTACTAGAGGCCCGATGCATGAAAATCATGCAAGAGTAGGCCTTCCTTCCCCCAGCTGCTGACACCAGCTTCGCTCTGGCACCCAGGACCTGGGCTTCCCTCACAGCCCCAGCTTTGTCCGGAAGGTCGTCCGGAAGGACATCCGGAAGGACATCCAGTCTAATTAGCATATTACACTTTTATTATTATAGATGGTCTACTAACCTAAAACACAGTGTTAATCAAACATTGGGAAAGGAAGGTAAGTTAAAACACTGACACCTTTTTAAAATATTAAAAAGTTAATATGGCCTCTAAATATGCTGGGAGCTAAAATTTATATCTAAGACCACATAGTAAAGCCTTTTACAACATATAATCTTTATTAAAGAATCATAAAAATGATTTAGGCAATAAGTTTTTTTTAAAAGTCCAAATTCCCATTGCCATAAAGACATAACTCGCAAAGCATTTTAGACAAAAATCCCACCTTGCCTGACTAGCCAAACACTAAAAGTAATAACTATAATATATCATAACATCAGAGTCTCACTTTCAAAAACTGAAAGGAAGTCTGTGCCAAAAAGAAAAACTGCTGCTAGAATTTTAGGATCTATCTTTTTATATTGCCCAGATTACATGTAATATAGTTTTTTAAAAGAATCTTTTTAATAAGAAAATATAAATATATGTTTCCTCACCTTCATGCCAAGAATTGCAGACTTGGGAAGTGGACAGAGTATATTCTTGTCCCTCCCTGTGTCTCCCAGACATTGGGTAGCAAGCAGAGGGCCTTTCCATGGGGTTAACCTCAGTTAGTATGAGAGTAACTAAAGCCATATAAGTCCAAAGGTAAGAGAGAAATATGGTACCAGGCATTATTTTTAACTACCCTTCATCCGTCTGGTGCCCCAGACGCTATGACAAACAGGATGATGGCCTCTCAGAGCTGCCCTCTAGGATGCAGAAAGAATGTGGCCGTAAAGTGCAAGGCCAAGGGGAGAGTGAGGCACCTTCCTAATCCGTCCTCACATCTTTTCTCACTAAAACAAAGAGCAAAAATGATGAACTTCCCCTCGGACTGAAAAAATGACATTGGCTTCTTGACACAACAAAAATCGAAAACAAATGTTCATGTAAACTAAAAATGACCCCCAACTACAGTAGTCTTTAGGGCTTCTGGTTGGTTGTTCACTGACCTCTTTTATTGATTATGCCCCTTTTTTCACTTTAAAAAAGGCGGAAAATATTTTGTGGACTAGTTAAGAAATTAATCACACTAGCAAATATTTTTTTATCCATTTGCAAGAGTAACTTATAACAAACAGTAAATATGTGAATTCCAATATTATTAATTGCAAGTAAAAGTATGTATGATTACTTACCTCTAAAGCACTGATTTTTGCCATGAAGTCTAAGAAATCTGTGTCAAATTCTATCCTTCTTGGATCCAGAATGTCGTATTGCTTTTTCTTAACCCCGTGATATATATTTTTGAATTTTATTGCCATTATATCTATTCCCTCTATGGTAGAATGACTCAAGGCTGAGAATGTTTGCACAATAGTTATCATTTCTGTAATCTTAAAAAGAGAAGTGTTATTTTATTTTTAAAATGGGATAGTAGCACCTTTCCCTGGAGTAAATTCTTAAGGAATCATTGATTAAAAAGCAGACCAAGAAACAGGCCCTAGAATCATTTAGCTAAAACCAGAGTAGATAAAATAGATGGTAAATCCCTGTCACTAATCAGTACTCTTCTTCAACTATTTAAATCGATGATGTTTGAGCATATCTTGAAATTTGATCATACTAGTATTATATTTCAAAAGGAGGGGGAAATAAATTTCAGTAAAAGTCCTTGCAGATGTCTAAATAATTTCATTCTTTTATTCTTGAGAATTTTCTGAAAATTATTTCACTGGATTCAGAAGCTGTACCATTCTTCTTGCCCCTGCCCTCACTGTAGTTCTGACATGCAGTTCTGATATGTAGCACCAGCAGAAATCCGCATCTGTTTTCCTTTCCCCTGCATTCAGGTAGAAGGAAGGCCCAAGAAGACTGAAGAATGACTGTAGTCACTTCTGACCCCAGAAGAGCCCCAGGAGATCGTCAAAATGGACTTTATTGCAGAAATGGCTGCCTCCATCTCAATGTACCAACACCACCTACTTCACACACAAAAAAACCTTTCACGTTCACAGGCTACTCAGTTCCTTAATCTTCATTCGTGATTCCCTGTTCTGCTTCCTGCTTTGGAGAACAATGCTCAAAGTTCTCCAGGTTTGCTTCCTGTTTGGCCCTTGGGCAAAGCTTCCCTTTGTCCAACGCCCAGACAGAAACCAAACCTGTTCTCAGGGGAGTCCTCCACAGACTACGCACGGTGGAGACAACACAGAACCAGAAGTCAAAGTCCCTGCGCATGTCAATCCAAAGGGACCACTTCCTGAACAACTGTCACTCTTGGGTCACTGTTTCTGTACATTTCCAAAACGATTGTCACCCTAGAAGCCAGGCCAAGCCTGGAGCAAACATGGGCCACCTGGAATTCACAGCTCGCTATGTACACCCTATATAAAATGAGAAATAGTTGGGCTTCCTACTAATACGTACGCTCCACTCACCTTAACAAAAAACTAAAGGAAAAAAAAACTTTAAAAGGCAAATTGGAGAACAAAACTACCCACTTGCTCTGTTATTCTATCCTAAGACTCTGATCTTTATCCCTTACCTTACCACCTGACCCCCATGGCCAGAGACAGGGACAAAATCCCTGTCATGAACATGTCCTCTGTTTTGTCCATCTGTGGATAATGGGTGGTCAAGAGACAGGGACAGCAGTCGGTCCCAACCTTAGCCAGTGAGCCCCCCACCCCCATACACACAGCAACAATATAAAAGCCAGTCATGGTCAGCCAACATGACCCTCCTTCTGCTCGTTTGTCCTGGCCTTGGCTTTTTCACCAGCTTTCTCTTGATATCAAGTTTTGACCCCTCAGTATTGACAGCCAATTTATAATTCCTCCTCTGCTCACCAATCTTGGCATCCTCTCTAGTTCTCAACTTGCTATGATTCCCTCATCTCAGTGTCACCAGGAGTAAAGACTCTCCCCCACCTCTACCTCTAGTTCCTTAACTCTCCCCTGAGCAATACCAGCCTCCCACTTCTTCTCTTCTCTCCCACAAATGTCCAGGGTGAGAAGAAAACAAAACTAAACTCTAAAATCAATAAAAACTTAAAACATATCTTCAGGTGAGGATTAAATAAGAAAAAGAAGAAACTGAAATGATAATCCACAGGATGGGAGAAGATATTGGCAAATCATATATAAGAGACTTATACCCAGAACTCTTGTAACTCAACAATAAAAATACAAAAATAATTAATTATAAAATGTGTAAAAAATTTGAATAGAAGTTTCTCCAAAAAAGAACTACAAATGAACATTAAGCACTTGAAATTATGTTCAACATCATTAGTTCATTAGTCATCAGAGAAATGCAAATCAAAACCACAATAAGACACCACTTCACACCCACTAGGATGGCTAAATTTAAAATGACAGATAATAACAAGAGCTAACAAGGATGTGGAGAAACTGGAACTCCCTTAAGTTGCTTATGAAAATGTGAAATGATGCAGCTTGTTTGAAGAACAAGTTGGCAGCTCCTCAAAAAGTTAAACACGGCATTGCCACATGACACAGCAATTCCACTCCTATGCATATATTCCAGAGGAATAACGACATAAGTCCATACAAAAATATGTACACAAATGTTCATAGCAGCACTGTTCATAACAGCCAAAAAGTGGAAACAACCCAAATATCCATCAACTAATGAATAGATAAATAGAATGTGGTATATCCATACATGGAATATTATTCAGCAATAAAAAGGAATGCTAAAACAGATGAACCTTGAAACGTTATGCTAAATGAAAGAAGTCACAAAAGAACACATCAGAAGAACAGGTAAATCTATAGAAACAGAAATATTAGTGGTTGAAGGGGGAAAGGAGTGTGGCTGCTGATGGGATTTTTTCAGTGGGAATGAAAATGTTCTAAAATTAGATTGTAGAAATGGTTGCATAACTCTGTGAATGTATGAGAAAATGCTGACTTAAACACCTTAATGGGTGAATTGTATGGTGTATGAATTATCCTATATAGTAAAACCCTAATATGCAAATCGACTGAATGGTAGAATGACCAGCAACACAACCAGTCACTATGACGCGCACTGACCAACGCAGGAGCTGTCCCCTGGTGGTCAGTGTGCTCCCACAGGGGGAGCAACACTCAGCCAGAAGCTGGGCTCATGGCTGGCTAGCGCAGTGGTGGTGGTAGGAGCCTCTCCCTCCTCCACTGCAGGTGGGTGGTAAAGGAGCAAGGGGTCCCAGACTGCAAGAACCCCAGACTGCCAGATGGATGTCTGACTGCTGGCTTAGGCCTGAACATTCTCCTAGGGCTCCTGGACTGCGAGAGGGTGCAGGCTGGGCTGAGGAACTACCCCAGTGCATGAATTGCATGCATTGGTCCTCTAGTAGATCAATAAAGCTATTAAAGGAACAAGCAAAAACAGCCCAATAGAAGTATGTATTTAGACCCCAACCAGTAACTTGCTTCTCTTCATCACTCATACCTTCCTATCCTAACTGTGTTAGGGGTTACAAATGAAAAATGGGCTCTGGACATGTCTAGGAAATGCCCTTCAACCTATGTAATGCCTCAGCAACTTCCAACAAACGATGAACAGGATTCTAAATATTATCAGGACCTAAAAAGTTGGCAAGGTTGTGGGGGACTGGAGTAGGTCATACCTAAATGATATATTTTTGTAGACTTTTCAAAGGCTACCTCCAACAAGCCTCTGAATGGACAGCCTATATACCCAGAAAACAGTATCACTCCTCCCCAGCCAGTCTTAGCAAATGAATCAGAGGCGCAGAAGTTTCTAACCCATGTATGCCCAGTAAAGACATCACCCACACCATGTCTGTGGATACACCCTGTACACTGGCCTAGAAAGAGAAGGTGCCCACACACCCCGATACAACATGACCACCGGGTTCTGACAGGTATTGCAGGCATTTCATCTCACACGTCCTCTTGCCCAACACAATGGTGAAGAGCAGAGGCTTTGAGTTCAAGCTCCCTGGGTGGAGGCAGACTTGGAGAAAACTGAAAGTTTGCCATAGCTTCTGTGTATCTGGCAGAAGACACTAATCAGGAATAAAAAATAAGATATAATAAAATGCAGTAAGTAATATGAGTCGTACCAATAGTGAGACGAGCAATCTGGAACAATAATTCTCACAGTGCTACATAAAGTACCACATAACCAGAGACGTGTGTTTGGGGGTGGATGCGATGGCTGCACAATGCTTACCTTTTCCAGTCTTTTGCAGAAAGCTTCAAATTTTCCAAATATATACATTTCTGAAACCTCAAAAGACTTTTCCCCTGAGGATTCTAAAATCAGTTTCCTTGTTTTGTGAAAAGATGCTTGATATTCCTTAAATAAGAAAATGCAATCCTGTGGAAAAATTAAAAGAAGGGGCAGAAAGGGTGGTGAGACATTTGTTCAGGAGTCAAAAATTCTACTCTCACACAGAGCTGATCACATCAGCTCCTCAACAGGGGCTATTGCTGTTAACATTAAAAATTCACATTATTGCCTGGCCCGCATGGCTCAGTGGTTGAGCATCGACCTATGAACCAGGAGATCATGGTTTGATTCCCCAGGTTGCAGGCTCAATCCCCAGTAGGGGGCATGCAGGAGGCAGCGATCAATGATTCTCTCTATCTCTCTCTCAGGCTACTTTGTTCAATGTTTTATCAAAATTAACATGCTTTGTGCATTAATAAAGTAAACAAAATTGGGCCAAATGGTGAAAGCTTTACTTTATGAAAATAAAAATACGTACAAAATAAAATAAATAAATAAAAATACATATACAAACCTGAATTTTCTTTAGTACAAGGGGTGTTTCCTGATCCCATACATGGTTAATTCCTCCATCAGTAATATAGGCTTTAGATGCTGTCACCATTTGATTTGTTACCTAAAATAAATATTAGTCCAAAATAACTGTAGAGAAATAAATTTTTTTTTCATTTTTAAAATCACAAGCATAAAAATGATAAATAGTGCCCTAACCGGTTTGGCTCAGTGGACAGAGCGTCGGCCTGCAGACTCAAGGGTCCCAGGTTCGATTCCAGTCAAGGGCATGTACTTTGGTTGCGGGCACATCCCCGGTGGGGAGTGTGCAGGAGGCAGCTGATCGATGTTTCTCTCTCATCGATGTTTCTAACTCTCTATCCCTCTCCCTTCCTCTCTGTAAAAATCAATAAAATATATATTTTTTAAAATGATAAATAGTAAACTTATGTAGTGAATCACAATATATAAATCACAAAGAAATGTACATTCCAGTAAAAAAAAAAAAGTCACACTTACCTACAACATTTAAGTCAATGTAATTGGGGCTATAAATTTCAAAATCTACTATATTTCCCACTTGTTTATTTCTGCACTAATTAGAACTTGATCTAGTCTAAGTGTGATTCTTCACCATCCTTCAACATGTAAACCAAACATCATATCCCTCCAAATAGTGAAAAAGGTCAAGATATCTATTTAAATAGTCCAGAGGTTAGATCAAGATGGCAGACTGGCACACAGAAGTGTTGGAGAATTCTTAAAATATGGAAAGCATATGGGATCAAATCTATAAGAAAAAAAAAAGGCTAGAGAAAACCAGAACCCAGTTCTGGAGAAGGTTATTGTGAAGGTGAAACAATATGGGAACTTTTCAAGATGGTAGATGTCGTGAGGGGCCTTTGGTTGTAACCCTGCACACTGAATTTGGAGCAACTTATGCAACAGGCAAAGGGACACATACTGAAAGGACAAAGCTGTAGATGTGAACCAAAGTCTTGGAGAGGTGTGGCTGTGCCAGGTAGCTACTGCACAGCAGGATGACATATCAGAGAAAATATTATTCATACTTCCCTCCCCTACAACAAACAGAACAGGGAGGCAAATTAGAAGTCTCAAATATAAAGACTGCCAGACAACCAAGAATCGTCAAGCAATTAAAGAATACAAACTTGGAAACAGAGGCAGTAAACTCAACAAAGATAGGAAATACAGAAGAAATATATGTAAAATCTTTTAAAAATCTCTTTTATTAACCAAATCTGTATATATAAAAGCCTAAGCGACCATTATGACCAAACGACCAGAACTACCGGAATGACCAGAATGACCGGAACAAAAAGTCCACCAGTTGCCATGATGCACACTGACCACCAGGGGGCAGACACTCAACACAGGAGCTGCCCCTGGTGGTCAGTGTGCTCCCACAGCCAGCTTCCTCTCCCCTAGCAGCCCCCCCAACAGGCCCCAATGCGGGGGCTGCCAGCCAACCTCCCGAGGTCCTTCTCCCTGGCCAGCCCCCCAATAGGCCTTGATCACAGGCCAGGCCGAGGGACCCCACCCATGCACAAATTCGTGCACTGGGCCTCTAGTTATTTCATAAGAAAGAAATGAGAGGATTTTACAATTAGAAAACTTGGAAATTGAAATTTTTATTTTCAAAATTTTTAAAAATCTATTGATGAATTGGCCAGCATTTGGGGCAGAAATTAAGAACACATAAGTGAGCTGAAAGGTCAAAAGACAAAGATAGACACACACACAAAAAATAGTTAAGAGAAATGGAAGTTAGATTCAAAGGGTGAGAATAAACTGAACAAGTGGGTAAGAAATAATCAAAGACAAAAGAGGTAATTTTCCAGGAAAAGGAGAGACAAAAATCTTTGGATTGAAACAACCCAGCAACTATAGAACACGATAAATATAAAAAGAACCACATCACTTTGACATTTTAGAAGTTCAAGGATAAAGAAAAAAATCCTAACAGCTTCCTGAGAGAATAAAACATGATTCCGACAAAGGAAAAACAATCAGATTAGCATCAAATTTCTCATCAACAATACTGTGTATTGGACAGCAATATCCTCAAAGTTCCAGAAGAAAATACATTGAACTTAGGATTCCAGTGAAACTAGTATTTGAGTGGGAGGACAAAATGAAGGTATTTTCAGACATGTGGGAATTCAGGAGGTTCACCACACACAGAAAAGAAAGAGAAAAGAACCAGTTGACAATTTTTTTTGGCAAAAGAAGTAATGAATTATCTTGGTCTGACAGCTCAGATGGTTAGATCATTGTCCCAGTACACCAAGCTTGTGGGCTCGATCCCTGATCAGGGCACATACAAGAAGCAACCAATGAATACATAAATAAATGGAACAACAAATAGATATTTCTCTCCCTCCCTCCCTCTCTCTCTCTCCTTATCTCTCTCTTTCTCCCTCTAAAAAATCAACAAATTAAAAAAAAGAAGTAATGAATCCACAATGGAAGAAAATGTGGAAATCACAAAACAGAGATAATCAAAGAAACTAACACTATTTAGATTTTAGTCTGAAAACTTGTTGATTCATAATGTTGAAAAATATTAATAATAACATGGAACTAGAGATCTCAATATGGAACATAAACAGCATGAAGGAGAGAAAGAAGTGACAGGGAAGAATACCAAGGTTCTTGCCTTGTTGAGAACATAATGGTTAAATCTATCCTTTGTGGGGGGAGGGGGTGTTAAAGTTGAAATGTGAATGTTACTTATATTCTGCTTGAATCATTTACAAAGAAATTCTATTCATATGTTTCTTAGGCAATTTTTCAAATCATTTAAAATAATTAACCATAAGGCATTACATGAGAAATTTTACACAAACTACAGTGCCGGTGGGGTAGCTAAAGAAACATTGTTAATAGTGGACAGAAACCTTAGCTCTTGAGCAAAACTACTGTGTTTGGAAAGGATAAATATGGTCACCATCTACACTTAACCAAAAAGCCTGGAGGCTTATCTCTGACAAGGAGAAAAGTACCCTTTCAATTAAGTACAACTGCCTCCAGTCAACACCTTCCTTTTCTTGTCCACCGGAAGTATTAAAATCCAAATCTCCGACAGGCACCAACCTTCCCATTTCCCTTTTCCGGTTCAGAGGGAGAGCATTATTCACAGAGTTACATGTGTGACTTCCTCCCTTACAAACTTACCTTGATAAACAATGAGGTCATTCTCTCTGAGGTATTATAATACCTCGACACACTGTGAATCATTCTGATGGCATTAATCAAATTTTGTATTCCATGGGCCATGGAAACCTAAAATTGAAATGTATCAAGTGAATTCCCTCATATACTTATAAGTTTAATAACCAATATCCTATAATATTCGAAACTCTAAACATACATAAACGTCCAATTTCACTAAAGGCAATGTGGTATCCTAGGCTGGATCCTGGAACAGGAAAAGGACATCAGTTCTGACGAATGTGCCAGCGGAACTCAAAATGCTAACAGGAGAAACTGGGTGAAGAGAATTTGGTATTATTGTTGCTTAAACGTTTATTCAAAAATAAAATATTAGAGATGAAAGTTATTTTAAGGATTCATCGTTCAAGCTGCTCTTTTTAAAGGTGAAGAAACTGATATTTTGAGGGGTAAAGTGACTTACCTGGGTCAGAAAGCCAGTTAAAAACAGAGATTAGACTAGTACTCATTTCCATGTGTTCCACTCAATTCACCATGCAGCAAGCATACTAAGTGCCACTAAGTACTGAGAATATTGGGCAAAATCCACAAATACAGAACCTATTCTGGAGGAGGTCACGGCAGAGTGCAAGGGACGTACACAAACAAGTTAAACAGCAGAACAGCACAGAGCAGAGCAGAACAAGTGCACACACAGATAAAACAATTGCTAATGTGTACCCAGTGCTTCCTGTGTGCCAGGCACTTTATGGGGACAATGACCATTTAAGGTAGGTTTGATTTCATCACAGCTAAGACATCTCTGGTTGCAAGACGGTACTGTCCCACTACTTTACATGATACTAAGAAAAGGGCATCTCACTCCCACATAAAACTAAGCCATCAAATGGCTCCACCCCCCCCTCCCCCTGTAACGGTAAGGATGAAACAGAGGAGCCGTGGAGAAAAAGATAGGAACAAACCTTGTATATCCCAATCCCACTCCTTGTGGAGGGAGGGAAAATGAATTCCCCTGAGAATTTGTACCACAAGCTGGCACTCATTCACTGCAGTCTGAATTCACACCAATGGTACAAAAAAAATTAAATAAAATAAAATAAAATAGAACAAATTCTACCCCTCAAGAAGAGAACTAATAATCAAAAGTGTTGAGTCACATTCACAATGATTCATAAAACTCAACTGACTGAAAGATGTTCTCTGAGTGCAGAGATATTAAAATGTAATAAAAAATGTTTTAGAACCTATAAAATAAAATATTGTTATCCCCATTTTTCCCATGACAAAATGGAGAGGCAGGGAAGTTAACCAGTTCTGTGCCTGAGATGACTGAGGCCTGCTTTTCCCCATGATGCAAATCACGATGGAAGAACAGATAAGGGCAATGGCACTCCCTCCCTCAAGGAGCATGCCTGTTCATTGCTAAGACAATATAAATATAGCAACGATTTTTAAAATGGTGATGGAATAAGTAAGACCAGAAAGAACTACTACTAAATCATGTACTGTATGTCCCAGGTATGAGGTGTGACAAAGACATAATTAAATCAATTGTATGCAGCTTATGAACATTAACATTATTTCATAGTTAACCTTATATGTCAGAATTCATATTAGATGTGTCATCTGTAGATCAAAAAAAATTCTAATAAGAAATGTGCCCAGAAGGCATCCCTGCCACCCTCAACAAGGCAAGCCTACAAAGTACCCCTAACTCCAATAAAGAAGGCTTAGGGACAGCAACAAATGGATCAATCAGGAAAATGCCCTTCATCTGAATTTTAAACATCATCTATAATAATAAAAGCATAATATGTTAATTAGACCAGACGGCCTTCTGGATGACCTTCTGGACAAAGCCAGGGCTACGAGGAAAGCCCAGGTCCTGGGTGCCAGAGGGAAGCCAGTGCCAACAGCCAGGGGAAGGAAGGCCTACTCTTGCACGAATTTCGTGCATCAGGCCTCTAGTTACTTATAATAGTAGCTGCTTGAGTGCATAGTTCTTACCTATTTATACACAGTACTCAGACATTTTATATGTAAAATGTGTAATAGTAGATATGCCTAAAGTGTAATACCAGGATGATAAAATTTATCAACGAGCAATGGAAGCATGAGTCCTCTGCACTTTTCCTGCTCAAATGACAGTGACAAACTAAACAGAAATTGTTGGTTGCTTTTAATAAAAAGAAAGAAAGTGAGAAAAAAAGAATTTGTGAAACTACAAAAATAGTGGGTGTATTAGGGGGAAGCACATTCCTACATCAGAGAACGTAAAAAGCTCAATAACAATAAAATAGTAGTAGTAATAATAATAATAATGTATATCCACAGCTAGAATAAATGAACAAAGTGTTATAAATTACTTGGATGAAAAGAACACCAGCACTAAAAGATGTGAAAATTATGGGAATTTAAGCAAGTCTGTTGAACCAAGAAGATGAAATCAGTAGACCTTAAAATCTAAAAGTCTTGGTAACAATAGAAACTATTGTATCTTTTTTCCCACATTTATTTTTTATACTGGAAAGTTTTAAATGTATAGAAAAGTGAAGAGAATAGTCTAATGATCATCTATCCCCACCACCAGATTTGACAGATGGTAACATTTTGCTGTCTTCATTCACCTATTATTTTTGACATCAAGAGCCACTTGTAGGAAGACCTTCTAGAATAGGCATTACGTATATGTGTATTTAATATTTGCTTCCTCAACTCTTGTGAGTAACCCCAAGTGCTTGTGACATGTGATAATTCTAATTTTCTAATTTTTCTTAGACACAAATTTCAATTGCACATGTTATAAAGCTGAGGAATTAAGTCCTTGATCTCTAGAGTGAGCCAAGCAACAGCTATATTCCTCTGTCACCATATAATCTGGGGTTTTTTGCTCATGGTCATATGCACAGAAACACCTAAGATGTTCTTATGTGAAACGGATTTTAAAAAGGTTCCTAACAGAAGTTCAGGAGCCTGTACTAGGAGTAGAAGTGAAGAGAGTACTAGGTGTACCAGTTAATAATGCAGATTTTGTAATCAAAGAAAACCTGGTAATTTCAAGAGAAACATCAAAAGTGCTTTATTCAAAGTAACGTCCATCGCTAGCTACACATTTCCCGCATCTTTCAGGTAATTTGTGGATACTGTCCCAATAGAACTTTTCTTGTTTTGAGGCAAACCATTCAGAGACCAGACTTTCTACTTTTTCGTACGTTTTGAAGTGCTGCTTAGAAAGTGCCTGTGCCATCGATCGTAACAAGTGGTAATCTGAAGGAGCAAGGTCTGGTGAATACCGCGGGTGGGTTAATACTTCCCAGGCAAGATCTTTTAACGTGTCTTGAACTGGTTTTGAAGTGTGTGATGGTGCATCATCATGAAGCAAAATTACTTTGCCGTGTATTCTGGCACATTCTGGTCGTTTCATGATCAAAGCGTGGTTCAAATTGATTATTTGTTGTCAGTAGAGATCAGTATTAACAGTTTCACCTGATTTTAGAAGCTCATAATACCTAGTAAAGTTTAAATCATAATTCTCTTTGTAAACAACAAGAAGTTGTAAATAAGTTAAAATCCATCACCTTTGTATGGAATCAATTAAAAAACTGCTTCTGAGAAGTCTTCCTATCCTCTTTTATGGTGCTTCCTGATGGATGATGGATTCCCACATGGCAGTAAGAACTGCACCTGTCCAGGACTCTCAACCCACTTTTCCCTCACCATCCACATGAAATTCCTTGGCTACCAGTATCCTCTTGGGATGTATATGAAATATCCATACACATCCCTCTTCTCCGGATATAAGTGATATGGAACATAGACTCTTCCCCTTTCCCTGCCTCTAGGATGAAACTCTACCCCAAAAAGATTGGTCACCCCGGCTATATGGCCAATGGTGCCATGTATGTGGAGGATTTGACTATCTCTTCAAAGATTAAAATGGAGAATGCTGAACATGTGTGTCAGACACGAATGTAAATTATTTCAAGAGCATATAAATTTAGAGAATACCTTGAGGAGACAGCAAAATGAGGTGGGGGGAAAATACAACTTATAATGTCAAAGAGTACTGGATTCAAATTCAGTCGCATCACTTACACTTGTAGAAATGCTCAAGTTCAGTTTCCTAGTCCTGTTGTGAATACAGAATGAAAGTATATGGAAATGCCTACAATGAAAGACCAGGGTTCTCAAGACGGTGGACATCTTTAAAACCACAACTGCCCCAGGTTCTCAACAAACACTGGTTTCCTTGATTTCCCCTCTCTATCTAAAGAAAGGACAGAGGGTTCTCTCTCATTTTCATACTTCACATAAAACATTCCGAAATGCCAGTTAATTTACGAATCAAAAACGCATACAAACTTAGAAAAATAGAAGGAAATGGTAGTGCTAATATGTCCTTTAAAGGAACTCTGTGGAAATATTATAAGAAAAGTAGGTTAGAAACTAGAAGATGGGTCCTGTTGGAAACTAGAAGGTGCCTCGCTGACCAGCTGAGTGATGCTGGCAACGCCACTCTGTCACCATGAGTTTTGATTTCCTAATCTCTAACCTGGTAGGTAGGTTCAAAGACGGCCCCAGTGATGGCAATCCTCACGGTATTCACACGCTTCTGTAATCCCCTGCTCCTGTGTGGGCACTGGCCTGCCTGACTTGCTTCCACCGTCCAGAATACGATAGACGTGATGGAACGTCACTCGTGAGATAATGAGTATGTCTGTCTTGTTTAATTCACAAATGAGGTCATCTTCATGATAATGCATTATATTTAAATGTGGGGTAAAATAATATGGCTTTAATCCATTATAGACATGTATTAGGGAAATAGATCTTTTAAATAATTTTTCTGCAGTATAAGGTTTTCCCATATACACATATTAAGTTATTTTTAAATGTGGTAATTTTTAAGCTACACTTTTAAAAGCATACTTACTAGATCATAGTTATAGAGAGGTTGACATACTTTTTCCAGAGTGTACAAATATCTGACATTATCTTTTGATTCATTTGCTGTATCTGTGATTCTTGCATCCAAGTCACGCCAATTCTAAGAAAAAAAAATGTGTAAGAATTCTATGACACATCCAAATATATGAGTATGCTAAAGTTTAATCAAGAAATTCAATATATATACTGAAGTAGTAGATAAAGGTGGTTGATATATCTTTTTATGATATTATTTAAGACTTAAAGTTATAAATATTTTAAATGCACTACACTGAAGATTCATTCCATTGGTAATTAACATCCTGTCTGTAGGCTTAAACTGGATCTGCTTCAACTTGGAATGGCTTGTCTAGGTTAGCTATGTACATTATTCTGATTATTCAAGTATGGGTCAAGTTATGAAAACAGAACATTATTCCAAGAAAATATTCCTTATCAGAAAAGTGAGCTTCAAATCCAGCAAGACTGTCCAGAGATGCTCTGGGACCATGGTGGACTGCTTCCATCAACATATATAACAACTGATTAATAGCAATAGTAATAAAGAACTCCTAGAATCTGTATAAAATAACTTCTGAATTTTTTAAATTGAGGAAAAATATAAACAGTTAATTCACAAGAGAAGAAATGTAAATAGCCAATAAACTTTAAAAAATGACAACTTCACTATTAATAAGAAAAGGCAAATACAACAAGCCATTTCCACATGTCAGTTTGGAGAAAAAAATTTAACTGTTAATAAGTATTGACAAGGTTGCCGAGTATACAACCTAGGGAAATACTTGCATGTATGCATATAGAAGTTTTAACTGCAGCAATATTTGTTAACACATAAAAAGAAACCATTTTCCTCAAAAACTTAAATACAGAGTTAGCATCTGACCCAGAAATTCTACTCCTACATCATATCTCCATGCAAAAACCTGTACAAGAATGTTCACAGTAGTATTGTTCACAATAGCCAAAAGTGGAAACCCAAATGTCTATAAGGTGATAAAATGTGATATCATTTGCAATGGAATATTATTCAGCTGTTAAAAGGAATGAAGTGCTGATACATGCTACAACATGGATAAATCTTGGAAATATTATCTTAAGTGAAAGAAGCCAATTAAGATTATTCCATTTATATAAAACTAGAGGCCTGGTGCACGAATTCGTGCATCAGTGGGGTCACTTGGCCTGGCCTAAGGAATCGGGCCGAAACCAGCTCTCCAACATCCCCCGAGGGGTCCCAGATTGCGAGAGGGCACAGGCCAGGCTGAGCAACCCCACTGGTGCACGACTGGGGCCAGGGATGACGAGGGAGGTTGCACCCGGGGAGGGACCGCAGGAGGGCTCCAGGGCATGTCCAGCCTGTCTTGCTCAGTCCCGATCAGCCAGACCCCAGCAGCAAGCTAATCTACCAGTCGGAGCATCTGTCCCCTGGTGGTCAGTGGACGTCATAGCGAGCAGTTGAGCGGCCTTAGCATATCATGAACATATTACACTTGGATTGGTTGAATGGCCAATTGGACAACCGGACACAGCATATTATGCTTTTATTATATAGAATGTCCATAATAGGCAAATAGAGGTAAAAAGTAGACTGGTAGTTACTTAGCCCGGGGAGGAGCGGGGCAGGGGAGAGATGGGTGAAAATGGGAGGTGGCAGCTAAAGTGTACAGGGTTTCTATTTGAGGTGATGAAATGATGAAAATGTTCTAATATTGATTATGGTTATGGGTGCACAACTATGTGAATATACTAAAAACCAGTGAATTGTACTCTTTAAATAGGAGAAATAAATAGTATGTGAATTGACATATTAAGGCTACATATTAATTCCTCCCAGTGACACCAACAGCAATCAAGGCTCACCTACAGTTAACACTGTTGGGAAAAAAAGAAGGAAAACTGTCTTTCCTATTTATCTATAAACTAGAGGCCCAGTGCATGAAATTCGTGCACAGGTAGGGTCCCTAGCAGCTGCTGGCTGCTGGCTGCCGGCTGGGGCCTCCCTCCCTGGCTGCCGGCTGCTAGCCAGGGCCTTTCTTTGTTCCCCACCACCCCCTGGTGGTCAGCGCATATCATAGCAAGCAATTGAACTCCCGGTCGGTCGAACTCCCGAGGGGACACTTTGCATATTAGGCTTTTATATATATAAACTAGAGGCCCAGTGCACAAAATTCATGCATGGGGAGGAGGGTCCCTCAGCCCGGCCTGCACCCTCTCCAATCCGGGACCCCTTGGGAGATGTCCGACTGCCTCTCGCAATCCAGGACCACTGGCCCCTAACCTCTTGCCTGCCCGCCTGCCTGATTGCCCCTAACCCCTCTGATTGCCTGCCTGATTGCCCCTAACCACCTCTGCCTGCCTGATCATCCCTAATCACCTCTGCCTGCCTGCCTGCCTGATTGCCCCTAACTGCTCCCCTACCGGTCTGATGGTCCCCAACTGCTCCCCTGCTGGCCTGATCACCCCTAACCACCTCTACGTCGCCCCACATCCAGGACCCACGATTCCCTCCTCCAGCCGGTCACAGGCACCCAGGACCCAGGCCAGCTTCACCCGGGCCGGCCACAGCCGCAGCGGACCATGGGCAGGCAGCTTTGCCTGGGCCACAGCCACAAGCACCCGGGACCACAGGGTAGGCACTTGTCCCTCTTCCAGGCCGCAGGCGCTGGCACCCAGGACCACAGGGCAGGCAGCTTGTCCCTCTCCCAGGCCACAGGTGCAGGCACACCTGCTGGTGCCTGGGACCTTGGGGCAGGCGGCTTGTCCCTCTCCTGGGCCACAGCCCCAGCCACTGGCACCTGGGACCACAGGGCGTGCGATTTGTCCCTCTCACGGGCCACAGCCTGGCTGGTCCCCATTCCTCTCTCGCAAGCTCACTTGTGCTTGGCTGGTATTCCTCTCTCCCCAGTTGTTGAGTGTCTGAGCCATTATGGTGTGATGGCATGAGGGTGTGACAACCATTTGCATATTAGCTCTTTATTATATAGGATAGGAAAATTATTAGATAAAACCTAGTCTATTAACATTCTGGAAAACTACACAGCTCAGTCTGACCAGCATAACTCTCTAAGACATGATATTGGGGAGGAAAGGAAGATGGCGGCATAGGTAAATACAGTACTCATGGCCTTCCACAACCACTTCAAAATTACAACTAAAATACAGAGTAACCATCATTCAGAACTGCCTGAAATCTGGCTGAATGAAAGTCCTACAACTAGAGAACTAAAGAAGAAAGCACATTGAGACTGGTAGGAGGGGTGTAGGGGCAAAACAGACTGGTCTGACACCCACGTGTGGCATTTTTTTAATTGGGATGGATATCTTGGCAGCAAAGGCCTCTCATGAGGAGCAAGGAGTCCCAGCCCCACACCAGGCCCCCAGCCCAGGGTTCCTGAGCTGGGAAGAGAAGTCCCCATAACTTCAGACTGTAAAAAATCAGCAGTGATGTGGCTGAGTGACAAGGAGACTACTGGAGACCCAGAATACTATTAAAGGGCCAGTGCACAGACTTACTCAGACTTGCTCCCCCCGAGCTCCAGAGCTGGGACAGTGGCTTGGGGGGACCCAGGGACATATGGAGAGGAACTGGATTATCTGGCATTAGGGCAAGAATTCAGGAGTGGCTTTCTCCATGAAAAAGGATCTTGAAGGGGTCATTGTTCCTATGCTGAGACCTCCCCCATCACAGAGCTGACTGGTAGTTGCCGTATCTGAGTCTCCATCAACCTGACTCACACTGTTCACTCCACCCTGATGATTCTCTAAGACCCTGCCCTACCCAAGTTATAGTCCCACCCAAGCTGTTAGCAGCAGTTTTTCCATATGAATGGCCTGTCCTGGCCCAGGCTTCACTCTTCCCTAAAATCTCTCAAACAAGCAGCAGCTTGGGACAGCATGCCCCAAATCTATCAATAAAAGGCCCAAGACCCAGCCTTAGCACCAGCCTGCCTTGCTTCACAGCTGGGCCTCGCCTGGGCACTTCCAAGCCCAACAAAAGTAGCAGCCACCTGCAGATCATTCTGTAGCTCCTATTGGGAGGCCCCAGAGCCAGTGCACCTGGTGGACAGCTTCAGAGCACCCCAGATTACAACTCTACACACCCATGAGTGACACATTTAAGAGGCAGACTCAGTAAGCACCAAAGCCCCACTGAAGCAACTCCTGCTCCATAGGGGTGTCTCCTGCACAGCAGCTCTTCTCTGCTGTAGTCACAGCTAGTACTCACAGCCAATAGGCCTGGGGGTCAATTCCTCCCAGTGATGCCAACAGCAATCAAGGCTCACCTACAACAAGACAATGCACACAGCCCACACAGGGGCGCACTTAGAGTGCCCAGATCAGGTGACTGGGGAGGCTGAGCCACTGGGCCCTACAGGACCCCTACTTCACAAGGCCACTCTACCAATTCCAGGAGACATAGCAGCTCTACCTAATACATAGAAACAAACACAGGGAAGTAGCCAAAATGTGGAAACAAAGAAACATATCACAAATTAAAGAATAGAAGAGGCCCCCTGAAAAAGAACTAAATAAAGTGGAAGCAAGCAAACTACTAGATACAGAATTCAAAACAATGGTTATAAGAATGCTCAAAGATCTTAATGAGAGCTTCAATGGGTTTAGTGAGACTCTCAAGGATCTTAGAATACCAAAGACATGAAAAAGGACCAGTCAGAAATTAAGCATAATTAACTGAATTAAAGAATAATTTACTCTTTATTTCAGGGAATCAACAGCAGAGTCAAAGATGCTGAGAATCAAATCAGTGATTTGGAATATGAAGAAGCAAAAACACCCAATCAGAAGAACAAAAAGAATCCAAAAATATGAAGATAATGTGAGGAGCCTCTGGGCAACTTCAAGCATACCAACATTCTCATCATGGGGGTGCTAGAAGGAGAAGAGACAGATCAAGATACTGAAAACCTATTTGAAGAAATAATGATAGAAAACTTCCCCTACCTACTGAAAGAAATAGAGTCCCAAACAGCATGAACCCAAAAAGGCCCATACCAAGACACATCATAATTAAAATGCAAAGGGTTATAAACAAAGAGAGAATCTTAAAAGCAACAAGAGAAAAGCAGTTGTTACCTACAAGGAGCGCCCATACAACTATCATCTGGTTTCTCAACAGAAACTATGCAGGCCAGAAGGGAGTGGCAAGAAATATTCAAAGTGATGAAAAGCAAGGACCTACAATCAAAATTACTCTACCCAGCAAAACTATCATTTAAAATTGAAAGTCAGATGATTAGATTCACAGACAAGAAAAAGCTAAAGGAGTTCTTCACCACCAAACCAGTATTACTAGCACATGAAATGTTGAAGGGTATTCTTTTTTTAAATATAGTTTTACTGATTTCAGAGAGGAAGGGAGAAGGATAGAGAAATAGAAACATTGATGAGAAACATCATCGATCATGTGCCTCCTGCATGCCCCCTACTTGGGATTGAGCCCGCAATCCAAGCATGTGCCCTGACCAGGAATGAAACTGTGACCTCCTGGTTCATGGGTTGACATTCAACCACTAGGTCACACCAGGGAGGAGGAGGAGAAAAAAATATTAAAAATATGAACAATAAAATGATAATAAATACATATCTATCAACAAATGAATGTAAAAATCAAAATAAATGAACAAGAAATGCAATGAACAAAATAAACTGATGAATAAAATAGAACCACAGGCATGGAAACATGGAACAGACTGAGGAATCTCAGAGGTAAGTGGGGAGCAGGGGGCAGGAAGAGATTAACCAAAGAACTTATGTGCATATATACATTACCTATGGACACAGACAATAGGGTGGTGAAGGCCTGGGGCAGGGTGGGAATTGGGTGCAGGAGGGCAGTGGGAAGAAAAAGGGGGACATCTGTAATACTCTCAACAATAAAAATTTTTAAAAATATGATATGCTATTGGGAGAAGAGGGAATTGAAGAATAATACATTATGACACTATGTTATAAAAAACAGAAACACAAAATTATGTAATATTATATGTAGGTAGTATACTCATCCTACATAATAAAAGCCTAATATGCTAAGTGTCTGGTCATCTGGTCCGCCATTCAACCAATCAAAGCATAATATGCTAATGATATGCTAAGGCCACTCAACCGCTCACTATGATGTGCACTGACCACCAGGGGCAGACGCTCCGCCTTGTAGGTTAGCTTGCTGCTGGGGTCTGGCTGATTGGGACTGAGCAAGACAGGTCGGACACGCCCTGGAGCCCTCCCGTGTCCCTCCCCAGCCCTGATTGTGCACCAGTGGGGTCACTCGGCCTAGCCTGTGCCCTCTCACAATCCGGGACCCCTCAGGGGATGTCGAAGAACCAGTTTCGGCCCAATCCCGCAGGCCAGGTCAAGGGACCCCACTGGTGCATGAATTCATGCACCGGGCCTCTAATATATAAATATCACAGAATAAGCCAGTCAGAGAAAGACAAGTGTCACATGTTCTCACTCATATGTGAAATCTAATGAACAAAATAAATTGATGAACAAAATAGATCTAGAGACATAGAAGCATGCAAAAGACTGATGTATTTCAGAAGGAGGGAGAGGGAGACAGGTGGAGGCAGGGGGAGGAAGATTAACCAAAGAACTTATATGCATAGCCCATGGACAAACAATAGTGCTGTGAAAGCCTGGGGAGGGGGTGGGAGCAGGTTGGAGAGAGTCAATGGGGAAAGAACGGGACATCTATAATACTTTCAACAATAAAGATTTTTAAAAACCAACAAATAAAAAATTGTGGTTATCTCTCTGTACTTATCATTCAGGAACAGGAGTTAAGGGGTGGGAAGGTGTGTGATTAAGAGAGACTTGTTTTAACTCAAACATAGAAAACAGTATGGTGGTTATCATAGGTGAAAGGGGGTCAGGGAGGATGAAGTGTATAAAGGGGGTCAAATATATGGGGAAGGAAGGAGACTAGACTTTTGGTGGTAACCACACAATGCAATATACTGATGATGCATTATAGAATTGTATACTTGAAACTTTATAATGTTATTACACAATGTTACCCCAATAAATTTAATTTTTAAAGAGAGACACTTGTTTTATCTGCAATGTTAAAATCTCTTACACAAAATCATGTATTATTTATAATAATAAAAGCATAATATGCTAATTAAACCGGACAGCCGAACAACCTTCTGGACGAAGTCGCAGCGGTGAGGGCCAAGGCAGAGGTGGTTAGGGGCAATCAGGCAGGCAGGCAAGCAGTTTAGGACAATCAGGCAGGCAGAGGGTTTAGGGGCCATCAGGCAGGCAGGTGAACCATTAGGGGCAATCAGGCAGGCAGGCAAGTGGTTAGGGGCAATCAGGCAGGCAGGAGAGCGGTTAGGAGCCAGCAGTCCCAGATTGTGAGAAGGATGTCTAAAGGGTCCCAGATTGAAGGAGGGTGCAGGCCGGGCTGAGGGATCTGCCCCGCTCCCTCCATGTACAGATTTCATGCACCGGGCCTCTAGTTTGCTATAAAGACATATTTTTATTTTTTTATTTTTAAAAAAATATTTTTATATTGATTTCAGAGAGAAAGGGAGAGGGAAAAAGAGATAGAAACATCAATGATGAATAAATAATCTGATGAACAGTATGAACTGGTGATTGTAATAGAATCAGGGACATAGAAAGGGAATGGACTGACTATTCTTGGGGGGGGAAAGGGGTGTGGGGGGTGCGGGAAGAGATTGGACAATAATTGTGCACCTATGGATGAGGACAGTGGGTGGGGAGTGAGGGCGGAGGGTGGGGTGGGAACTGGGTGGAGGGGAGTTATGGTGGGAAAAAAGAGGAACCAATGTAATAATCTGAACAATAAAGATTTAATTTAAAAAAAGAAACAAAAAAAAAGAAACATCAATGATGAGACAGAATCATTAATTGGCTGCCTCCTGCACACCACCCACTGGGGATCAATCCACAACCCAGGCATGTGCCCTTGACCAGAATCAAATCCTGGACCCTTCAGACTGCAGACCAATGCTCTATCCACTGAGCCAAACTGGCTAGGGCTAAATATATAATTTTTTAAGGAAGACTAAAGAAAAAGAAAAGGAACTGGAAAGAATCAAGCTAAACTGTTAATAAAGATAACCTCTAGGAAAAAGTGAAATGTATGAAGAGAAGGCATTTTTGCTTTTGACTTCTCATGTAGTTCTTGACCTCAAAAAGCCTCTGTTGATTTACAACTTCAAAAAAAAATTTTTTTTAATAGCAATCATTTTATAGTAGTACTGTTTAAATGGGTGTGCAAAATATTGAGGACTAAATCTTCATTTCTATACTTCATTTCCCTCTTCTGGAAATAACTTATTATATGAGAAAGCCTTACTCAAAGATGAATACTTCTGCATACATGATGTTCATATATGATGCAAAGAAGCAGTTCAAGAAGAATAATTTTCTAGTTGGTTGTTCTGAAGTATATCAAACTTTAAAATACCGGCCTTTTACCTTTAACAGTTTGGAGTGTGCAACATTAAGCACATTTATGACAGCCTTACAACTCGGCCCTTTAATCTGTTCAATGATGTAATTGAATTTGGCTGACATGCGCTTCCAGTGCTCCAGTTCAGTGAGTGGGCCTGAGTCATCAGCTTCTTTTCTCATTTGCTCACTCTCAATAAGTACCTGCAATCAAAAATATTCACAGAATAGAGAAGTGTTACTTTCTTTTAAAAGTTCGTTACTTTCATCTTTTCAAAGGAAGATAAAAGTATAAATGACATTCAACATTAAAGAATGTTTAAAACTGCTAGCAAACTAAGAATAGATGGGAACTTCTTTAAAATGATAAATAGTGCCTAGCTACCAAAAATCTACAGCAAACATACTTAAGAGTGAAATTTTAGAAAATATAATTCTAAAATTATATTTTAGACAAGACAACTTTGCCACTATCACCACCCACTTCCATTCAACCTGGTAATGGAGAGCCCAAAACAAGACAAGTAAACAAAAGAATTACTATAAAAATTGGGAATGAAAAAACAAAGATGGAATCATCACAGCTGACATGGTTGACCACATTCTAAAAATTCAAGAATATCTAAAGACAAACTTTTATAATTAATAAAAGTAAGGTTGCTGGATTATATATATATATATAAATATCAGTAGCATTTCCTTATAAATCATATAACAATTTAAAAATGTAAATATAAACATATAGCATTTACTTGCTATAATAAATAATAACAATGATATCAAGAGGTTAACAAAAGATGTATATTATCTTTTTGGAGAAAATTAGAAAACTTACTTCCAACACACAAATATATGACCTACAGAAATGGAGAGATTGTAACATGTTCATGAATGGAAAAATTCAGGCATATAAAGATGGCATTTTTCTCTAAATTAATGTATACATTCAAAGAAGTTTCAATCAAAATTTCAGAAGGGTTTTTGATGATACTTGATAAACTAGCCTTAAAATTCTGGCTTGAAAGAATTAACAAGTACTCAACAAGACAATTTTGAAGAAAAATACAGAAAGGGACTTGCCATACCAAATACTGATTTAGTAAAAAGCTACGGAAATAAAAGCAGCATGGTATAAGTACAAAAAAACAAATAAGTAGACCAGCAGGATAGAAAAGGGGTCCCAGAAACTTGATATGTTACAGAGCTGACATTACAAATTTGTTAATGGCCTTATTAAATAAACAGCTCTGGGACAAATTGGCTGACGATATGGAAAAATACAAAATTAGATTCCTACCTCACATTACACACACACACACACAATTCCAGATGCTAAATGTTAAGAGAAAATGGTAAAACTCTTAAAGAAAATATAGAACATAGGGGTAAAACTATGAAGAAAACCATGAAACTGAGTATCATAATTGTCAAGAAAACGGTTACCGCTGGGGGAAGAAAGGGGAATTGAAATTGGGAAGAGGAATACTAGGGGATTGCAAGGTGCTGGCAGTGTTCCATTTCTTAATTTGTGCAAAGCTTATACAGGTGTTAATTTTGCATTAGTTTATTTTATTGTACTTATTCTGGTGTATTTCACCATTTAAAATAAATAATGTAGGAGAATATCTTCATAACACTGGAATAGAAATGGGTTTATGATACCAGATGAAAATGCAGGACACAAGATGAACCAAGAAAGGATTAACATCCAGAAAATACTATTTAAACTCCAACAATTCAGTAAGATATCATCAAACAATCTGAAATATAACTACGTAAAAGATATGAAGAAGCCATTCAACAAAGAGGAAACCTAAAGAGCCATTAAACATACTCAACCTCAACTGTATTCAGGGTAATGCAAAATAAATCAAGATACCATTTCACACCCAATATATTGGCAACCATTAAAAATCTGACAATCCCAAGTGTGATGAGAATCTGAAGAAAGGGGAACTCTCATATGCTTCTGTACAAAATATTATAGTTAATATTTTATAGTTACTATAATCACTATTTGGAGGGCTTTGCAATACCCAATAAATTATCCATACATTACTGCTCTCAGCAGTTCCACTGGGAAATTTATTTTTAAATCCTCACCCAAGGACATATTCCCACCAATTTATTTATTCATTTATTTATTTAGAGAAAGGGGAGGGGGAGGGAGATAACACTGATGTGAGAAACATTGATTGGCCGCCTCCCATAATGCCCCAACCAGGGATCCAACCAGCAGCCCAGATATGTGCCCTGACTGGGAATCGAACCCCCCACCCTTCAGTGAACAGGACAATACTCCAACCAAATGAGCTACACTGACCAGGGCTCCACTGGGAAATTCTTGAACAAAGGAGACCTGAACAAAGATATTCATTAAATATGTATTTTTATTGTTTGCAATCGCAAAAAAAAGTAGAAATAACCATCTTTCTGAGGGAATCAACAAATAAACGTCTCTACCTTCTTAAACAGAGGTTAGTAGACATAATTTAAATGTCTCTTAGATGTCTGAACATCTGTATAATAAACTGATTTTTTTTCACAGAGGAATATCATACAGTGAATGAATTAAATTTACTTGTACCAACATGAATGAAAGAATGTTGAGGGGGGAAAAAAACCTGTAAAAGGATCCTTAATAGTATTATACTGTTTATGTAAAGATTTTAAACACAAATACATT